GAGCTGGTCCTTCGAGCCGGATCGTGATAGAGAGTGTCGGATAACGTGTGGTTATTCTCCGGATCTGTGACAAATCGCTGCCATGTCGGAATCGCTCACAAAGCAGCTCACCTTACAGCGCTCAATCGAACGAGCGCTGGAGAACTTTAAGAAAGTCGGAAAAGCGAACCTCACCGCGGCGAAGATTCGTACTCGGATCGCGTCGCTTAAGGAGAATTGGACGCAATACCAAAACGGGCACGCTTTCTTTCTGTGACTGTTACGATGAAGGACAAGACATCTATGGAGTACTTCCAGGATAACTTCTTCGAGGCCACTGAGGACGTTTACAACGCCACTTGGGAGCATTTTGCGGAGTGTCTCGAAGACTTGGAACCTGTCGTAAATCAAAATCAGTCTCTTAATTCTTCCTCGTCGGGCTCGCTGCCTGCGGACGTACCGTCGTTGTCTCAGTCGCACATGCCTAAGATTCAGTTACCGCCGTTCGATGGTACATATTCGGAGTGGGAAACGTTCCGCGATCGGTTCTCTTCTCTTATCATCAATAACCCGTCGCTGAGGGATTTCGCGCGCATGCATTATCTTTCGTCCTCGCTGAAGGGCCGCGCGCTCGCTTGCCTTCGTGATATTTCCATCACCGCAGACAATTTTAAATTAGCATGGACTACATTGTGCACGCGATTCGACAACAAACGAAGGCTGATCGCGTCTCACTTTTCTGCGCTCTTCGGATTGTCGGCCCTCGCTAAAGAGTCGGCGTCCGATTTGCAACTTCTTTGCGACAATTATCAGATTTCGGTCAGTTCACTTAAGAATCTCGGTCGATCTACCAGTGATCTCTGGGACGATTTCCTCGTGCACTCACTCACTCAGAAGTTAGATCCCGCCACCCGGAAGGCGTGGAATCTTAAGACAAGCGACTCCGAAACTCCGCCTTCGTATGAAGAATTAAATCGGTTTCTTACGAATCGGATCCGCGCGCTGGAGGAATGCGCCTCCAATTCGGTCGTTAAACCGCCTAAACCCGCGCCCGCGTCTCGCGTGCATGTTGCGACTGCATCTGCGTCCGGTTCGACAACTTGTCCGCTATGTCAAGCGCGACATTACTTAAGCGCTTGTGCAAAGTTTATTGCCCAGAATCCGACTCAACGTCGCAATACGGTCAAGCAATTCAAGCGCTGCTTCAATTGTTTGAGTGCCTCTCATGTAGTTACCGATTGTAAAAGCCAATATTCGTGTCGCTCGTGTAGCAAAAAACATCATACGATGCTTCACCTTGATTCGGATTCTGGACTCCCTACCGCAAAATCGTCCGTAGAGAAAGCTCAAGTCGATACTCCGGCGACTCCCATCGAAATTAACTCGCATCTCGCTTCCGCGAGTCCCCGCGCACGATATCAGGTCCTTCTAGCTACCGCTCACGTAAAGGTTACCTCCGACTCCGGTCGCGCTTCCGTTGTCCGGGCGCTAATGGATCAAGGCTCTGAAGCTACTTTTATCTCTGAGTCCTTGGCGCAATCTCTGCGCGCCAAGCGAATTCGGATGCCCGTGTCCGTTTCAGCTGTTGGCGGCGCTCAAGTGAGGATGGTCCGCCACGCAACCGCTGTCTCCGTTTCGCCGACCACGTCGGATACGCCGTCGCTTACCACGACGGCCCTCATTCTCCCGTCGTTGACGTCGTACGTCCCCAAGCAGACGTCCGACTTCTCATCCTTCGATTATCTGTCTCACCTAACATGGGCTGATTCGGATCCGACAAGTTCCGAGTCAATTCATATGATCATCGGCGCTAATCTCTTCAGCGCAGTCATTCGCGACGGAGTTCGAGCCGGCACGGCAAATCAGCCGATGGCTCAAAATACCATTTTTGGCTGGATCATTTCTGGCCCCCTCTCTACGGAGCGTTCCTCTCATCGAACTGCCCTCCATGTCACCACTCACTGCACCTCGCTAAATTCTCTCAGCGAGAGTATTCAGAAATTCTGGATTACCGAGGAACTTCCTCAATCCGGTCTTCTATCTCCATGCGATCAACAGTGCGAGGAACATTTTCTCGCCACCCATTCTCGCGCGGCAAACGGACAATACATGGTGCGATTGCCCTTTAAATCCCCGCCGCCACTTGACATCGGGTCCTCTCGGCCTATCGCTGAGCGTCAGTTCACGGCCCTTTCAAGACGCCTTTCTTCTCAACCCGCGATTCGCGACGAATATCACAAATTTATGCGTGAATATGAAGAGCTCGGTCACATGCGTCGAATATCCGCGGCGAATACGCCCGCAAGTCAGACCGTTTACATCCCGCATCATCCGGTGTTTCGCGCTGACAGCGTTACCTCGCGTCTCCGAGTCGTCTTCAACGCCTCCAGTCATACGTCCAACGGCACCTCTCTGAACGATCACTTGCACGCCGGTCCGAAATTACAATCGGATCTCCCGGCTGTTATTTTACAGTGGCGTCAACACCGATTCGTTTACATCGCCGACATCGCCAAAATGTACCGGCAAATTTTGATCGATCCACGGGACCGCGATTATCAGCGGATCATCTGGCAGCCTGAGTCCTCAACCGCGTCCTCGAGTTATCAGCTAC